CAAATACCTTGAAACATTGCACATGTACAGTCTAAAATATTTTCACTTACCATATTCCACTTTATTGCATATAGTGTAAATATTTTAATTTCTTAAACTACATTACCCTGTGCTGCTCTGCCCAATTTGAATTTCCCCTACAGGAGATCAATAAAGAAATATCTTATCTTAATCATAGCAGACTGGGCTTCTCGGGAGGGGGGCTTAAAGAAAAAAAGAGTATGTCAGACAGGGAGTGAATAGAGGTGCTGCTGAAATGGCCAGTATGAGGAATATAATGTGTTTTTTTTCAACAGTGAACAGTAAAAGCTCTTATGTAGACCCCCTCCCCTCAATATAAGTATGAAAATGAGCATAATATGACCCCTTTAACCACTGTGCTGTCTTGCAGAAATGCTGTAATGAAGAACTGTTGCCCTGATTGGAACGTGCCAGCCTTCCAACAGCCCCACCCTCCCCTCCCTCCATCAGCCATAAATGGTGAATCAGCTGACTGAACTGCTCCTATCAAAGACCAGGATGATCTACACGAGAGAGAGATGGAGAGAGTAAAGAGAGAGAGAGAGTAAGAGAGAGAGAAGACTCTGGTCTCTCGCCTCCGAGGACCTTCCTCTGTGTCTCAGTTTCAGTGTGTGAACCCTGAATGGACAGTCTCCATTTCTGCACCAACAAACAACACCACAAACTTATGTTGATGATGATAAAAGCCTCTGAACGTATAAAAGTGTCCATGAGCCGCCTAAACGGCCAGAGAGCAGCCCCCCTCCCCTTATTTTTTAGTTTTTGACAGTTTAACAAAAAGAAAAATAACAGCGTTTAAAGAAGGAAAACAAAGTTAGAACTTGGATTCAGTATTTTTCATCTTTTTCAATATCAATATTGTATTTGAAAGACATGGAAGTTGACCTCTTTTTAGTTGTATGATTATAAATATTCTTCAAAAATGAGCATGAAAAAAAATGCATCAGTTATTAAGTGTAGATGTTTTCAAGTGAAATCAAGTGGAAAAGTGAGAATTCTTTTATAGCCATACACCTATTCTCCATGCCTGTCATGTCAGTGATGATAGATCAAGGTCTATAATATGTATTATTATTTTTATTATATATTTTTTTCTTTGTTCGCCCTGTTGTTCATCATGGACTTCTCTTCTGCAAATATCTCTCTCTGATGTGACTTAATTTTATACTCAGTCACTGGGATTTCATAGCTCCCATAATATATTCTAATGCCATTTTTTGCATAATAATGCTTCAGAAAAAAATGGGTCTTTTATAGAAGAAATATGGGGAAAAATAAGGATTGATTTCTATGTCTCTTGAAGCTGAAATATATTATACTAAACCAACTCTAATAATGCTTCTTGTGTTTTTCTGTCAATGATGTTCCAGCTTTTATGGATTATTAAAGTACATTTTAGTACATTTTCATTATATTGGTCAATGTATTTTTGTGAATTAAACTTTTATCCAAAGTGGATTTGACTTATTTGAGAAGAGTGAAATTAAAAGGTGTTTTATTTTTTTTAATTTTTATTTTTTTTAAGGCTTGGAAACTTTCCATGGAACAAAAATCGGAATTGCATGTGGACCATTTTATTAGCTCTAGTTAATTAAGTATTTATTCAATACAGTAAAACCAATCTGCTCATTGATCAGTAGATAGCACAGAGAGGACCTGTAGTACACGTTATATTTGCCCTACTTTTATTGACCACTAGGTGTCAGTATATGAACAGAAATGTTTAACAGTTTCAGAGAGAAGCTGTCAGCGTACTGATTCAAATCCTTGCTCCCTGCAGTAAATTATATAATGTGGCTTAATGCGACAATCAGTCATAAAATAGTGCATATTTTTGATGATAATGCTTTTTACAAAAACACTGCGGGTCTTGTATATGTGCTGAAAACCTCAGTGTTTCTGGTACCTTTGCACACTGAGCACCCACAGCCTGGATTAATTCTAGTTCCTCACCTAAAAGACAGGATTTTCTGTAATCTTCTCTCACTGATGCAAAGTGCAAAGGAAAGTTGGGGGATTTAAAAATAGCAATAGATGAAAGATTGAAAGCTACATTGAATATGAAGTGAATGAAACATTTTTATTTTGTGAAATAGCAGATTTAAAAATAAATAAAATGAATTTGCTTGTTCCACTTAAACAACAGTGACCAGTGATGGATTTAATGTCATCTTAAACTGCATGTTGAAAATACATTCTTATTATGAGTGTTATATTACATAATTACTTAATAAACCTTAACAGGAGGTGCAAATGTGATTAGACTTACCTTTGAAAGAAGAAAAAACATATTGTTCCTCTTACAAGTGAAAATCCAGTTGATAAGCAGTAAATCACTTGTGTCCACTCCGAGGTTTGCTGCTACAGCCTTACAGGTATGACCTTTACTTACACTTTGCTTTAGCACTTAGCATTAACTTTAAATTGGCACTTATGGCCACAGTGGCTGCTCTTCATCGCAAGTTATATAGTCTCGTTTTAAAGGTTATGTTTCTTAATTATTGATTGATGAGTGACTTAACTGCCTGTTAGGAGTCGACCCCATGGATAAAATCTTCTATCATGCTATATATTATTAAGTATGTGATTGTATATAGCTGCAGCTAATTATTGTTTTCATTATCGATTAATCTGACAAATATTTCCTCGATTAATTGCTTGGTTTATAAAATATCAGAAAATCGCAAGGTTGCAATTCCCTAAAAAAAACTAATTGTTTCAGCTCTTGTATTGTCAAATCAATTGAAAACTGTTTATAGATGAAAAAACAAACAAGAATACTTTTTTTGCTGATCTAGCAAATCAAATACTAAACAAATGACGTCACTTCATCTCACTGATGCAAAAATCATTAAAAAAGTATTAATACACAATATATAAAAGCAATACCACAGTGCTCATTGATTCACAACTTTACACCCAATAATCTTATACAGCTATAGATATTAAAGCGATAGCTTCCTTAGTATTAACTGTATATATCGTAACAACCCTACCACATGTCACATTCTGCTTTGTCAGGAGTCAGAGTCACCAGGCAGGACTTGACCACAAGTAGTTCACATTTTCTACTAGAGGGAGAGGAAAAAAATGCTGCATCATCTAAGCTCCTTATGTCAAGCAGAGGAGGATGCTAAATGTCTGCTGTTGAGAACGGTGGGGAAGAGATTAGAGCAAGTGACTCACTTCTTCTTCTTGTTTTTCACTCTTATCACCTACACTGCAGCCTTGATCGGGCCCTTAATCCCTTTAGTGGTAGAGAAGCAGAGTAATACCAAAACACTTTTGCATTCATTATGCTCTCTGTGAAATAATGCCTGCTGTCATCCTCCAGACTCCCCCGGTCTGAGGTTTCTTCAGGTCCCCTCGGAAAAGTGGGAAGACTGTTTGGTACCAGGTGGGCTTGAGTCAAATCAAAGCTCTCTTTTTTCTGGGTATTACAAAATGTGATCCTCCTTACTATAAACAGGGTACAATGAGCTTATATGTTGCCCTTTTAAACAGTGAGTTACACAAAATTGCTAAAAGTAAGTGGACATCCCTGACAAACGTTTGTGTGTTTTAAGTGTCAGGCTGTTTTTCAGGATTTAGACTGGCTCCTTAGAAATCTTACTGCTACAGCAAATCATATTTTAGACAATAGTGCTCTTCCAGTGTTGTGGCAACAGTTTGGGTGAGACTGCTACCTGGTAGATAATGCACAAAGGGAGTTTCATAGACAAACAGAAGGGCTAAACTGTAACAGTAGAGTTATTGTTGCAGTTTGAAGCTTTTGTTTTTAGTTTCAAACCCTCACCAGGAGCAGGCAGATGTGTCAAGAAACAACAGCTCATAAAGGCCACCAACCTTGTTCTATGAGACATCATCATGGGAACAACACTCATCAATGGACAAAAACACAAAAGCGCAGAAATAATTTAGCAAAGTAAATACTGAGCAATCAGCTGGTGTGTACTAGTTGTTGTTTCCTGACACTTCTGTCTGCTGACTGGTCTCCACAGAGCCCTGACCTCAAGCCCATCAAACAGCTTTGGGAAGAACTGGAACGCCTACCGTGAGCCTCGTGTCTTGTGGTTGACCTGCAGCCAGGCCCCGAGATCTTGTGTAAAGCCTTCCCAGAAGAATGGAGGCTGTCATAATTGCATATTTATGTCTGTGGTTTTGGAATGAGATGTTCATCAATCACATACATGTATGAATTATCTCAACAACTATTGGATGGTTAACCATGGAAAGACAGTCATGGTTCCAAGAGGATACATCTTAAAGACTTTGGTGATCCCAACATTACACAGAGTGAAATGTCTCAACAGCTATTGGATAGAATATTCTTGTCACCCTCAGGATGAAATTTAAATTTGTCCAATACTTGACACAATAATGGCATTACCATCAGCCTCAGCTGTACTTTGTGTTGTGCTAATCAGCAAATGTTAGCATGATACAAATCAACTTTTGTTTGAATATTTAAATTTTCTGGGTAGTATTATCTGTCAAAAAATGCCCCATTTAAGCCGCTAAATTACAGGTTCAACACAGTTTCAGATCTTAATTGTACAGTAACAGCATAAGACACTGTCAGAGATTGCCAACAATAAACTGGGATGAATTCTTAAAGAGGGCCTCCAAACAACTGCACACTTTCATCCACTCAAGGTCCCTGAACCCATTACACACACACACATACACCCTTTCTCTCCTTTCCCTCGCCAGATCAATTAACAGATTAGTGGTTGGGTGGGATAGATTGAAGGTCCGGGCCCAGGATATCATCGTGTCTAATGCATTTTCTGCAGAGGGAGTGAACATGAGCTTCACTGTCGGGGGAATATTGACAGTTTGGAGTGCAAGGTTACGTTTGTCCTCTGAGGATTCATCATCTGCCATTTCCTGTCTGTAATTTATTTATTTTTGTGATGTACACTGATGCTGTATTGATGCACAGGTAATTCTTTAATTTTCCATATATTTTAATGCCAGGTTTCGTCTTTGCTAGCAGGAAATTCAGATTCATACTTTATATATGTTTGCTGCACAGTGTATTTCTTACATTCTCTTGTATTCGTGCCTTTTCTAGTGTTGATTTTTGTGTACATGGCTATAATATTACCTTCAATTATGATTGCACAGTTTTGTAATTAAACTGAAAGGCTTAAGTTCTCATTAGCAGTGGCACCTAATTGAAAATGGGTAACGTTTTCCCGTCTCGTATTTTCTTTATGTTTACTTAAGATAATAAGAGACAATTTCTCCACAGCAAATTCCACCTTTATTTACACAGGCAGCCATGCACCACAGTCTGTGTCTTTGTTTACACTCACATATATGGCTGCACAGGTTTTGTGGCTTGATTGTTTAGACAGCAGTGAGACTATTTCTGACAGCCTTTTTTTGGACTTTTAGTCCACAGCAGAAAATTGGAGGCACTGCAGTTCAGTCTTGATATTCTTTCAAATATTTAATCAACAGTCTGTTGTTAGTCAACAGCAACAGTTTAGCCTGTTGTGCTTTTATGTAGTAATGATTTATAACAGCTGTAGTTTTGTCATTGTGTCCACTGGATGAAGAAGTTTTGTGCTGCTGTCTTTATTGCTGCATTTAATATTATTACATTTCTTCTTAAACACACTACAGTATTTAGGGAGGACTCACACTGTCGTGGCCGATGCTGCTAAAATCAAACTCTCCATCAGTAATGGAGTACCGCAAGGCTCTATTCTTGTTTCATTATTTATATTTTACGCAAATAATAATATTCTTCCTACCTCAAAGTCCACTTTTATGCCTATGAGCTAATTTTGCTCTGACTCATCATCTGTCATCCTTTGATGAAGTCCAGTTATCCCTTTTTAATCATAGACTTATTTTGCCAGTAAAACTAAAACTGTGGTGTTCTCAACATTGCATGGTACCCGCCATCTTGGAGTCATACAAATACTCAGGAATTAGCCTTGAAAGCAGACTGTCATTCAGGAGTCTTATTCAGCATATTACCCAAAAATTAAAAATATTTTCTGTATAACATAAAAGCCTGTCTGTTTTCTAAACCATAAAGATTATTGTCAGGTCCATTTTTATATCTGTACTTGATTTTTACATTATCTGAATTGTCACCCTGTTGTTACTTCAATTTGCTTTGACAAATTTCAAACTCATTACTTATTTTACTTATTATGGGACTTATTAAATGACAAGAATGAATAATCATCTTTGGATATTTAACTATAAAACTCTACTGTTAAAGCTTCTAACTACCATCTCTTCTCTCATTTAAGTCTTGTAAGTACAGTACATGATCCAAACCTTGCATGTTCTGACCTTGGCAAAACTGGTTTCAGGTACTCTGTACAAGAAATGATTCTGTTTTGTTGCTTAATTGTTGGGTGTGTAATTTAGTGATTATGAATGTTTC